ACACCGAATGTGAATTGACATCAAGTCTACAGTCATAAATGTGTTGTGTATGTGTGTGTGTGTGTGTGTGTGTGTGTGCTGTTTATTTCTTCAATTTGTAACCAGAAGTTACACTATGTTTAAAGTATCCAAAGTACTTAACTGGTTCGATGTTACCGGGTGCTCTCAAAAAGAAAAAAACTTGACATCTTGGCCGAAAAAGGAGTGATCGTCTATGTAAACAAAAGGCATTCATGTGTAAATATGGCCATACTTGCACTAAGTCGAATTAAATTCAAGTTCTTCCAATCAATTCCATCCTGAATGAAACGTAATCATTAACAATTATTCCATGACGAACGGAACTTTGGGTTTCTTATTCCCTGGAAGTCGTTCGTTAATCATATATCATCCACAATCAACGAATGTTTGCAAAATTCCGTGTTTTTAAGGAGAAAGTAACACCTGGCAACTACATATGGGTGATGCTCTACCCACAATCGCGTGAATGAGGAAAAAAAAAAAAAACATTCTTCGCTTTTCAATGATCATAATATAAACACGTGAATAAACTAAATGAAATTAGTTAACCACCAAACAGCCCAATCCGATCTTTATGGATAATAATTCAGCCAGAAAATCCCAATATATCACCGTCTCTGCTATACTCTGCTATACTCTTCTCCTATTCTGTTCCGCGTTTAGATGTGCAAGAGTATTCAAGCTCGTCTGTATCTGAGAAATTCGAACGTCATGGCAATGTTACTTTAATTTTTTTCCAGACAAGATGTGGAAAGCACAATAGCTTGTATTGTAGCGAGCACATGTTGGCAGCGTTTTTACATGTCTGCCTACAATATAAACAAGAGACAGAAATGAGTGCCAAATATGACTCTTGCTTAATCATTCAGTGTGTCTCCCTCACGAGCTTACTGGTCTAATAAATAGCAAAGTGCATTTATGCGTGTAATGACGAAATGAAAACACGTTTCTGACACATGAAATGTAATAATTGAAGTGTGTGTGTATGTGCGTCTGTGTGCGTGCGAGCGTGTGTGTTTATTTGTGCGTCTTTGTCTGTGTTTGTGTTTGGGATGCTATGTTTGTCTTCTCATGTACGAAATGACAAAGATGATTTTTTATTTCTTAATAAAATAGAGACGAACAATCTTGTACTTGATTTGCGTAAAGTAAGAGATGGCCGTTGAAAGTTGTCTCAGGGAGTAAAAACAACACANTAAATATAATAATATTTGATAAGTCAACGTTTAGTCGACTAATGAATAAGATAAATGAAAATAATATTTTTGTAGGTTCCGACCTCATAAGACATCACTTGAAATATGCGTAAATAGTTGCAAAACTTCTAATACTTTTTCATGTCATATAGGAATGATGATAATATTGTAGACGCACATCAGCATATTCGCATGTGGTGTGTGCGTGGGGGGGAGGGAGAAAGAAAATGTTAACCGGGGTCTGAAGTAAACAAATAATCAAGAAAATGACAAAGGGAAAGCTGGCAGTAGGGAAAGGGGTGGGTGATGGGTTTACTTTGTGTAATTCTCTGTGGAGAGGAAATGTTTGCTATTGTTTTTCAAATGCCAATCCACACTTTTTTCATTTTATTTTACTGTACTTCATTAGAATTATAAACAAGCATATGCTGAGATAATACAAAATAAACAATGGAATGAATACAAGAAATTAAGAAATCATGAAATATCATCTACCAGCAACATGAATAAAAAGTACAAATTCTTTACTCGCCCCTTGGAAATCACTGTAGCCCCCCAGGTTTAGAACCACTGTACATGTAAGAGATATTTACATTCCTATTATTCTGCATGTATTTCATAAACAAAGGTAAATGTTTAGTTTCAAAGGAAATAATAGTTAAGTTATCCCTTTATAGCATTCTCTGTACGGCCTAGTGTGTCCCATTTTACATAAATCCACTGTAGCAACAATCGGCCATTACAGGGAGTCTCTGAGGCAGATTAGAGTTAATTATCTGCAAATATTTGTATAATCAAGTAATCTTATGTATTGTTACATAACTCAATTGAAATTAATATGTGCAACTTTGTTTATGTTTGAAGAAGGAAACGTTTTATGTTTTAGATCTCATAGATTAAGAGGAAGAAATGGTTTCATTTCAGTTTTACAAATGTGGAAGCACTAAACAAAATGACTAATGTAGCTGTAAGAAAGGATAAAAGGAATAAACAAACACCAAAGAATGAAGTGTTTCCCCTGTACAACCTGATCTACTACATAAGATGGCCGGCACAGCACAGGACACTTTTTCAGATTTTATTAATACCTAAAAGGTATGGTACGCCCTACAAACATGAGGCCTTTTGGCGGGACTGCAGCACAAGCACATTGTAGTTTCTCCCTTCACTTTTTTATTTCCTTTGACCAAAGCGTTGATAGTTGTAATATTTTTAATAATGTACGTGATTCATGGGTTATTTATTTGTATTGAGGGAATAAAAGAGACGATCCATAAGCATACAAAAGATAATGCTGATAAATATAAAATTTTAGTAGTGTTCACTTTTCTGCTAAATCATCCATTGTTCAAGTACGTTATCTATTGATGCCATACATAGTGTATTGAAAGTTCGCAGTTAAGTATAATGTACTGGTGAGTTAGCATATTCGTACAGGTCTGGGAATTGAGTAACATTTTCATAATACTTTTGGAGGTTCTGACCTTATAATTGTTCACTTAAAATATAAGTAAGTAGATGCAAGCTTTTAAACATTTTTTTTTCATGTCATAATGTGCCATGTTAGAAATGATGCTAATATTGTAGATGCATATCAGTACATTCGTATGTGGTGTGTGTATGGAGGGGGGGAGGGGTGAGAGAAAATGTTAACTTACTTTGTGTAATTCTCTATGGAGAGGAAATGTTTGCTATTGTTTTTCAAATGCCAATCCACATTTTTTTTATTTTCATATTTTACTGTACTTCATAAGAATTATAAACAAGCGTATGCATAGACAATGTAAAATAAACAATGGAATGAATGCAAGAAATTATGAAATGAAATATCATCTACCAGTAACATGAATAAAAAGTACACATTCTTTACTCGTCCCAACACTAATCCTCCTCCCCCCCTACACACACACCAACATTCTTACTTAATTCCTTAGCAAAAGGGGAAAAAAGTAATTCCTCTCATTTTAGCGTTAAAGCATTCATGCAGTGCAAATGGTGTGTATACTAGGCAATCTCCCCGCACAGGGTTGTATCTTTGCTCTGCACTTCACCTATGTTGTACGAACGAACGAACGATATGGAGGAAAGTGGAGAAAGCGAAGGGGGAGAGATAGAGGAGGACGTAAAGTGAGAAATGGGAAAAGGTGAGAGATTGAAAGAGGGGGGAGACGAAACCCCTTGCATAGTTTACATATAATATTTACAAAGATCGTTCATATCTGGATTTGGGGGGGGGTAGGGGTTAAGTTACATTTGCTTTATTTACTGTTAGTGCTGCGGTGCTGGCGGTTCATAATTAAAGTAAAAATAATAATGATAATAATAAAGTAATTAAAGCAAATAAAAGTAAACGTTGTATGTCTTGTCGGTTTTATCTCCTCCTTACTGGCCACTGTAATGTTCACGCCACGTGTGCATGTCACGTGACTATTAAACAAGTGTTATATTACTACGTTTTTCATCCTGAGATTTCCCGTATTCATTTAGAGGTCGTCAGTTATAATTGGTTATCAATTTGTGACAATGTCAAATAGAATTGGAAAATCAGTCGAAAGCCATAGAAATGAGTGGATATGAAAATACCCTTTTCTGGACTCTACTCTTCTGTTTATTTTCCCTTCGTTTATTGAAATACGTTGTCGAGAAGTGCTATATTAAGCGTTACTTTTTAAAAATTCAAATGTGTCAATAACAGCCTGTGAATGAAACAAAGGTTTAATTACTGCCTTGTCCTTCACTCTCGTAGCGTCTAGTTTGTGGAAAGTTGAAATAAATACGTGGTGTAGACTCGAATTCATATATATATGTAGAAAGTAAGAGATATTAGTAAATAAAATAGAGTAAAAGATATTAGTTTAGGCAAAAGATTAAAACGTTTATATCAAAAAGATTTGTTTGTGTATTCTGTTGATGATAAATTGAAGGGCAATAGCTGAGGGAAGGTTATATAATTTATAGGAAATGAGCTCTCCAGAACAAATATTTAGTTGCTGTCTTTGCATTCAAA